TGACTAATTTGCATATTACTTTTATTAGATAGGGTCTGCTGACTTGCCTTAATATTCTCATTATCTGTTTATCTGCCTTCTGTCTTTCCTAGATTATAAACTCTCTTTGACCAACCACAGTGCCTATTACATAGTAGTTGTACAATTAACATTAATTTTTAAATTACTGCAATTTTCAGGCTCTTTTGTTAGAGAAACTGTTCCACTGTGATTCTAATTCTCAATTTGGATATTTTCAGGACTGATCTTGAATCATCTCAGAGTTCAATTATTACTTTGAAATATTGCTCTTTGGAAATGTCTAATTTCTTTTTAATAGTATTGCCTACTAGCATATTCCCCACCCTGAGAATTGATAAATTAGGATGACCAAAATAAATTTATAATACTTGTAAATTATCTGAATACCTTCTGTTGCATAGTTTCACATATAATTTTTTAATGCCTATAAATCTTCTCAACCTCTAAATATCATTGACTATTGCAATCTTAAAGAAGAAAGCATAGAGCTAAGGAAATGGTAAGCTAGCCACAAGAATATTTGTTAGCCTACATATGAGGAACACTAGCTTTATCTGATTTTTTTTGTTGAGATGGCACATTTAGATACCATAAACCAAGTTATTGTACACAATTATTTAAAAACTGTATTACCTGCTTAATTGGTTTAAAATAATTTAAAAGGGTTCTGCTTAGCTTCTACAAATAAATGTAGTTCATCTGCTTTTAATTTGGTTAGAATAGCTCTATTTAAAAAATTTAGCCACCATTCTTTCAGGTTTCATAGAATTCATTCCCTTTAAAACTGGAGCATTTGGATAGCACTCCTTTAAAAATTGCAGCAAAGAGCAAGTTTTCTCCCACTAACCTCTTTTGACCAATGCCCTCCCAGAAAAATCTTCCCCGATCCCCTAGACTGCAACACATAACTCCAACTAGTTCTCCCTAGCATTACAAGAGCTCACTGTTTCTTCAGTTGAGTCTAGTGAAATACTTGGTTTGCGTTTAGAGGCCATCTTTTACACAAAGAAGCCAGCACATAACCAGAATCTTTCTAGAATCACAGATGTTGAGTGAAAAAGAGATTCATGTCTCCCTTCCCATGCTTTTAAGGCATAAGCTCACCAAAGGGAGCAGTGGGATATCCAGCACTAGTTTTTTTCTTTTTTGTCAAACATAGTTGAATTCAAGTAATTTACATAAGTACTAGTATGTGATGCAAATCTATTGTTAGCTATGTTGATGTCACATTTATAGTTTTCCCCCCTTTAGTTTGCAGATTTTAGGAGTTTAAGAAATGTCACAACTTTAAGGGTAATATTAGATGCTAGAGAAATACATTATTTTTACACTTTAAGTATATAGTTCTTAATCACCTGAAGAGCTTTTTTAAAAATGATATGGCCAGGGTCCAACCAATTCTACTGAATTATTTTTCTTTGGGTATGGAGATTTAGTACATTTATTATTATTTTTTAAAGTTCTATAGGTAATGCTGATTGAGTACCTCCTGGCCCAGTACCATGGCTTCAAGCCACCATTGACCAATAGTTTGCCAACCAGAATCAACTTGGCCTATTTCACAATTTTGCCTAGGGATAACTCAATGCTTCCTGGTTCCTGATTTTCTCTTGATTTGCTGCCTATGTACTTATGTCCTGACTTCTTTCCTGTTCTGTCTCAGGGCCTTGCCTTCCAGCACTCCTGGGCTTCTGAACTGGATACCTGGCCTTTGACCTCTGTGGTGCCATCATAAGCATAGGTTCTGTTTATATGCTCCAGGCTGGCTCATTGGACTTGGCTCTCCTGATCTTTGTATCTAATTCATACAAACTTCCAATTATGAGGGAAGGGCCATGATGATTTCAAATAACTGAAATAGGTAAGGTCATTAGTAATGCATGCTCATCTACTGCGATAGTCTAGTTTGAATCTCTTCAAACACTGCTTTGTACAAAGCATCCCAAGTAAAAATTCTTATATGGAAAAAATCTTTAGCCTGAAATAAAGGCCTTTTACTCTTTAGATATGACCTGCCTTTCTGGATCTTATGCTACTCCTTGTGTAGCTGGTGCTCCAGCCTAGCTGAACTTCACTGTTCCCCAGAAAGCCAATGGCAATAATGGTGTGCTAACTTCCTTTTCTCACATTTCGAATGTCTCAGACTTTTTCACCAGCAGCTTCCTATTTCTTTACTCACTATTGGTAGGATATGGATATACCCACCATATCCAAATCCTACCAAACCTTTAAAGGAGTATTTCCCAAACCTGAATAATATAAATTACTATTGATTCTACAGAATACATTTTGGACACACAGTTTGAAAAGGACAGATGTAGAAAAGTGAAGACCAATTTCATTAAAATGTTTCAGTTGCAAAGTATCACTTTGAAAGAATAGTTCTGTTTTTTGAACTAGGAAAACAATTTGTATGTTGTTTAAACAAAAAGAAAAAAATTTAAAGCATTAAAGAAAGCTTGTCCTGGCTGTTCTGTCTCAATGGTTAAAGCATGGCCTGTGGCCTGAAGGGACTGGTTTGGATTGCTGGTCAAGGGCACCTACCTACGTTGCAGTTTCTCCAGTCTTTCTTACATCAATGTTTCTTTCTCACTCACCCCACCCCCACCCCCATTCTATCAAAAAACTAATGGAAAACCTATCCTCTGGTGAGTATTAAAAAAAACAAAAACCTCTCTTTCTTAGATCCAGGTCTAGGATCCTAGTTTTAGAAACACTGCTTTAAGGCACAGCTTAAATATATTGATCCTGAAAATGTTTTTTCATCATTGCAGGGTAATACTTTTTTTCTCAGAATTTTCTGAGTTTAGTATCTAATCACTTTCTACCTAATATGTATGTAATATTGTCCTAGAAAAACCTTAAGCTCTCCAAAGGCAGGTACCATATTTTAATCATTTTTTTTATCACCACCAGTCCTCAGCAAATACTGTATGTAAGACCTATATTTCACCTTATTTTGTAGTCTAAATCTCTAAAAAATATCTCACTCTTCTATGGTACATACAACATATTACTGAAATAGCCCTATTACCGCAAAACTTAATTAGAAAAAGACCAAGTTGTGAAACTAAAGATTTAAAGTGTCGCAAAACATGTCTCTTCTGTGTTAATGTCAATAGGAACAATTCTTTAAAAAATGATCAGTAGGTAAATAATAAATTTTAGGGTGAAGGGTAAAAAAAAATCAAAATACAAGGCCAATACATTATTAAGGGTTATATCTCTAATTCAACTTGTATTTCAGGCAGTCTTCCGTATTTTAACTAGTGTATCTGAGGACACTGTTTTCCCTGGGTACTCAGGAGCGGTTTCATTATTTCCGGCATCACGACAGGTGCTTGTTTGAACCTAGAACTTGTTCCCTCATCCAGTGCGGGGACAGTACTGAGACAATATCTGGCGAGAGACAGGCAGGGGTCTAGGGAACCGATCCCCTGCGTCACTGGAGCGAGGCGAAGTCAGTCTCTTCACTGAAGAGAAATGGGTTATGGTTTGCCAAGGTCGCTTTTAGCTCTGAACCTGAGCGTGTGTTCAGTAAACATGGTTTGGGAGAGGTATTTCTTTGGGCAGTCCTGGTTTTCCCGAGACCAACAAGGGCAACAAACTGTCAAACGTTCCGCCACGACCTTGCAGAACTGAGTTAGAAACAAGTGGTTGGTTCCCCGTTAGCGGGGTCCTCCCGCGAGAGGGTTCCGGGCCTGTTCGGGGTTCATCCCTCGCCCCTGGCAGCTCCCCAAGGCCCAGGGAGCCCGCTGCGGGGGGGAGGGCTCTCCGTCCCCGCTCCCCGGCGGGAGCGGAGTGACTCCCGCAGACCGGTCCCCGGTCACAAACAACCTCGCACTTCCCTTCCCCCGCCCGGGCCGCCTCCGCTGGGCCGGCCCCCGAGGACCAGGCAACGCCTCCGCGGGCCGCGGGCGGGCCTCCCGCCCCTAAACGGGCGTCTGAGCCTCATCTCCTCCTCACTCGCCCCGCGGGGAAGGGGCTCGCTACGGAGACCTCGGAAGCAGCGCAGAGGACAGCGTCCGCTCCCCTCCTCCCGACCCCTATCACCTCCACCCGCCAAGGAGAGCGCCGCGGCGCGGCCGCGCAGACTCACAGCCGCAGGCGACCTGCGCGCGCGCCGACGCGGCTCCCGCCCCCGCCCAGCGGTCCTTCCGCGGCCCGTCTCCGCCCCTTCCTGGAGCCGCCCCCGCGCCGGCCGCCCCGCCCCGCCCGCTCACCCCTCGCGCTCGCTCCCGCGCGCGCGCACCCGACGCCCCGCCTTCACGCGTGCTCAATAACAGTTCCCGAAGCCGGCCTCCAAGCTTCTCCCGTCCCAGAGCTGTTTGAATATGCTAATGAGGGGCTAAGCACCGGCCAATGGGATGGCGGAGCGGTGCGTCACGTGGCGCGAAGACGTGTCAGGGGGCGGCGGCTCTGCAGCCCCAGCCCGAGTTAAAACCGGAGTGTGAGAGAGAAAAGCGCTTCAGTAGCGAGAGGGGCTGAGAAAGTGGTGACACCGCCGGGGTGCGGAGGGAGTCCCTGAAACTTCTCCCAACAGCCCCAGGGCCAATCTCCTCTCAGCCCACTCCCCTCGCCGCCAGCTCCCAGGTCCCCACTCCCTGCATCGGGGGTGGGGTGGGGAGCCGGGCTCGTCTCCCGCTGGGACACACACGGGGGCCGGGAACGGGGACGGGACCCCCGAGGCGGGGGGACGGACCGACAGACAGACGGCCGGCTCCCGCCCCAGCGGGCAGGCAGGCAGGAGGCGGCGGAGACGGGGGTGCGTCGGGGAGGACTGGGTCTGGGAGTTTCCTCTCAACTACCGGGGGAGAAACTCCCCGCCGCCGCCGCCGGAGGAGAGACCCAGACGGTGTTTTCCTCCCGGGGGCCGCGCTCCCCGCCCCGCGTAGCGGCGGTCGCCGCCGCCGGCGCCTCCACCTCTGCCATCTCCTCTTTCTCTGCCGCCTCGGGCCCCGGTGTCCCCGGCCAGCACTATGCCCATCTTACTGTTCCTGATAGACACGTCTGCCTCTATGAACCAGCGCAGCCATCTGGGCACCACCTACCTGGACACGGCCAAAGGCGCGGTAGAGACCTTCATGAAGGTACCGACTGACCGAGCCCGGGCGGCGACCCCGGCCCGGCGGCCCGCGGGCGGCGGGGGCGGCGGGGAGCGCGGCCGGGGCGGCCAGGCGGGCGGAGGCGGCGGGGACCTGACTGCGGGGCCGCCGGGCTCGGGGGCCCCCTCCCCCACCGCGCGGGCGGCGTGCGCTGCGAGCCCGGCTCGGCCCGGCCCGGGCTCCGGCCCCGGCGGCGCGGCGGCCGGTGTGTGTGCGGGGGGCGGCGCGGGGGGCGGCCGCTGCGTGTGCGGTACTGTGTGTGGGGGGGCCGCCGGGCGCCCCTTCGCCGCCGCCGCGGAGCCTCGCCTCGGGGCTTCCCTCTCACTCGCCCCGTTCTCCCTCCGTCCCCCGCCCGCTCTCCTGCAGCTCCGGGCCCGGGATCCTGCCAGCCGAGGGGACAGGTATATGCTGGTCACTTTCGAAGAGCCGCCCTATGCTATCAAGGTAACAGCGCTGCCCTCCCCCTTCCCTTTCCTGTTCCCTCCGCGCTCTCCGCCCCCCCTTCACCCTTCATGTGGCTCCCCTCCCCCACCCCTGTGCTCCGGGCGCCGAGTCCTTTTCCCCGCGGGCCCCCTCCCCCGCCCCGGAGCGCCGCGGCGAGGCGTGCAGTCGCGGGGCCACCGCCGTCCCCTCCCCGGCCGGCCCGGTGGTGGCGGCGGCGGCGGCGGCGCTGCGATCAACATGGCCGACATTTCCCCTCCGCGGCGTGAGCGGCAGCAATGAACTGTGGGGGATATTTATTCAACTCAGCCCGAGTGACAGCCGGGCCCGGCGCCGGAGCCCGGGTTTGCATTAAAGGGGAACCGGCCCGAGGCTGGGCCCTCTCCGCTGCCAGCGAGCCTGGTGGGGGCTGCGGGGCTGCGGGGCTTGATCGTAAGGGTCTTCCCGAGAGGCCGCGGGTCAGTGAGGCAGCTGCAGATTAACTTCCGAAGTCCTGCCCACATCTGCTTTCTGCTGGCACTTTACATCCCTCGATTTTGGGTGTTAAGTTAAGGAGTACCTTCCCCGGGGAAGTTAGGAAGTAGTTAGGCTGTCCAAAGCTGTACTGCGGGCAGGTTCATGCTTGGCCACCTTTGGAGGAGAGTTTCTTCAGCGCTGATGAGGCATTTCACGTTAGTCAAACCGTAGTGTAAAGCAAAGAAGCTCTTTGGATTGTAATGGTGTTTTGTGTATACATGGCTTTAAATAGTGAAAAAACAAACAAACCACATTCTTACATATTTCTTTTTAGGCCGGATGGAAAGAAAACCATGCAACGTTTATGAATGAACTGAAAAACCTTCAGGCTGAAGGACTTACGACTCTTGGCCAATCCCTAAGGACAGCTTTTGATTTATTAAATTTAAATAGATTAGTAACTGGCATAGACAACTATGGGCAGGTAGGTTGAATATTAAGGTGGAAAACAGTTGATTTTTCTTTTTGTGGAAAACAGTCCAGTCCAAAAACTATATAATATGAAATACAGTACAAAAGATTTTGGATTAAAATACAACAAGCACATAATACAAAAATGAAACATACCACTATATATGTTTTATAGTCCTCTTTTTCATCTTAAAATGTATTTTTTACCTTGCACTCACATAAATAGATAAACATCCTGCTTCGTCATACGCAGTTTCTCTGATTCTCTACCTACAGGCTATTAGCCTGCAGTAACTTACAGACACTAGTTGATTAGTGGTCTTCATTTCTATGCTGGAAAAAATGTTACAGGAAATTATTCTGTTTATCATACCAGGGTTTAATTTAACCATATTGTATAACTACTCTGAAAGGTAAGATTTTCATTGGAGTCCAATAACTAGCTGAATACATTTAAGATTTCTCAGCTTTTGAAGTTATACCATAAGCATTTATTCAGGAAGAAGTCTTAATTCATTACTGAATTAAATGGCAGGACCAGAGGTGGTTTTTTTAAAATTTATTTTTATATTCTAAAACTTTGGGAAAGAGGCTGTTTGAAAGTATGAAAGAACCTTTCCTTACTCATCCCATTCCCTACACTCTTCCATCTACTGCACTTGTATCTATTTGAAGATGAGAAAGATCTTTAAATCACATGATGGTTCACTATGGAATAATATAAGACAGTCTGTTAAAACTTTTTGAGAGGTGAGGCCTAGAAAATAAAATTTTGTTATGTTACATATAAAAGAATGTTAAATCCAAGGAGTTTAATTTTTATGCTGTAGTGCAAAGCACTGTTACCACAATGATATATTCAGGTATACATTTTGTTTTTTTCTCAAGGTTCATGAGCCACAGTTTTCATGAATTTCACAAATTTCAGGGGCAAATAACCTTACTACAATTTGTGGTTGCTTTATATAGAAAGAAACAATTGTTCCCTTAGTTTAAAAATGTTTGCACTTTACTTCTTAGCAGTAACTTAGCCATATAGCATTTAGTATGCTTTGGAATTCAGAGTCACTTTGTTTCTTTTTTTATCTAAAAAGATTCCCATGTTTAATTAAGTAAATGTGTATTTTCCTATCACATTATTTTTTTTGTTTCCCCTCCTCTGTCGTTTTATTTTGCAACTCAGTATTTTAGGTTCATTTGCCAGGACTTCTTTAGATTGTTTATGTAAAATAATGGATTTCCTTCCCTTCCATATTTATTTGTTAGATGTAGTACTTACAGTTTTGTGTTTGTTTTTTTTTAAATATATTGATTTTTCACAGAGAGGAAGAAACATCGATGAGAGAGAATCATCGATCAGCTGCCTTTTGCACATCCCCTACTGGGGATATTCCCGTAACCAAGGTACATGCCTTTGACCGGAATCGAACCCGGGACCTTTCAGTCCGCAGGCCGATGCTCTATCTACTGAGCCAAACCGGTCCCGGCAGTACTTAGTTTTTCATTGCTTAAGGTTTTGATCTAAATTTCTTTTAGATAAAAAAAAAATTTTTTTGAAACTTGCCATTGGTTATCCATTTTTGGTTGTCAGGTTTTCAGTATGTAGCAGAACTATTGATTTCCTGTTTTTGTTCATTACATTTCCTAAGTAGGAAATACAATTAGACACATTTACTGTCTATAAACTAATTAAAAATATTTCTTAGGGTGCTTCCTTAGAAAAACTGATAATCATGGAGAGAGACTGAGGACATTTGTAATGTAAACCTGTATTTTCTTTTTCCCAGTTGCCATCTTCCGCTGAAGATCACTTAACTTCTTGTCCATAAAGATCACAGAAAGTTTGAGGTTGAAGGTGGTCCAACTGTGCTGTTACCAGTTTGACCAAGAGAAAAAGCCTGGAGATTAGGATGTTTTTGCATGTTAAAATTTATTTATGTATTTATTTATTTTAAAAAAATATATTTTATTGATTTTTTACAGAGAGGAAAGGAGAGGGATAGAGAGTTAGAAACATTGATGAGAGAGAATCACCGATCGGCTGCCTCCTGCACACCTCCTATTGGGGATGTGCCTGCAACCCAGGTACATGCCCTTGACTGGAATCGAACCCAGGACCTTTCAGTCCGCAGGCTGACACTCTATCCATTGAGCCAAATCGGTTTTGGCACATGTTAAAATTTATTAATTCAACAAAAGGAAAGAATAATATTTCTCAGTTATTTTGATGAATAAATGAGGAGAAATATTAATACTTAAGTCCTGAGTTGGCACGTAAAATGACACTAGCATTAAACTAACTTAGGAAGCCACAATATGAAAATGAAAATGCTGGAGTAAAGTGTTTAGTGAGAAGAAAAAAATCTTTCCAGGTGATATTTTTCATCTTAAGACTTTTGCTAATTTAGATAATATACATTTATAATTCAGTGAAAGGGTAAATTGTGAAGAATTTTGGATGTCTCAACACAAAATACAGTTCATGCATTTTCTTTGTAAAAGTACTTTGTATCTATCTGTTTTCTGTGGAATAACTCTTACCCTGTTTTTACATAAGTAACTTTCATCATGCTCTGTGCTAGCATCTGTGGAGCCCACAGAACTAAATATTTTGTATATAATCACAATAATTGAAGGAAATGAGAAAAGGCCAGTTAGATGCCTGATTTTATAGAGCGTTTGAAGACCTTTTATGTTTCTAGGTTTTTTTAAATATCTAAATTGGATTCTTCATAAATGTGTGTGTGTGTGTGTGTGTGTGTGTGTGTGTGTGTGTGTGTATGTGCATGTATGGCATAGATACTGCAAACTTGCTCCCCCCACATACATGCATATATGTGATTTTTCTATAACCAAAAAGTTTTTTTTTTTTTAATATGTTTTATTGATTTTGTACAGAGAGGAAGAGGGAGGGATAGAGTGTTAGAAACATCAAAGAGAGGGTCATCGATCAGCTGCCTCTTGCACACCCCCTACTGGGATATGCCTGCAACCAAGGTACATGCCCTTGACTGGAATCAAACCTGGGACCTTTCAGTCCCCAAGCCGATGTTCTATCCATTGAGCCAAACTGATTTCGGCCAAAAGTATTCTTAATATCTATATTGCATCTGTTAATTTAGTTAGCATACCTGTAAGTAAAACATCTTTGAGATATTAGGATACTAATGAATCTGCAGGGCCTCCCTAGAGTGGCTGAGAACAAAGAATGATTCTTGGTGAATGTCTTCCTCAAGCACTTTGGATATCCCACCAAAAATATTCTTTGCATTTAGAAGTTCTTATAAATATTTAATTTTGATAATCAGTACCATGTCTACAGTCATGGAACAATGTGTAGCTTCTAGTCAAATCTTTTTCTTCATTATAGCAGCTCCTTATTAAATTGCTTATCATTGCAGCTAAATTCAATATATATTTTTTCACGTGTTCACCAGAGTTTCAAAAATAATGCTGATCTTTTGAGAGCCACTGAACATTTGAACCAGCCTTAATTTCTAAGTTAGGGCACATCTGAAGTTATGGAAGTCTGATTAAAGTTTTATATGTAGATTGGTTTATTTTTCATACTGTTTCAAATTATTCTGTTTTCTTTAAATGTTTTCAATATTCCCCCCCCTTTTTTTTAAAGTTCAGTTCCGCTAGATTCAGATGTTGAATATTATTCTAGCCTGTAATTCATCATTTTTGTCATTAGACTGATTCCATACTCCTATAACTCAGTATACTAGAACTGATTAGGTTATTTCAGGATTTAGAATGAATTTACCTGACCTACTACTACTATGGTCCCCTCTGTGAAGATAATCCTTAATCAATACCCTAAAATGAGATGTAATATGTGTTTTAATTTTTTGAGGATTTTCAATACTAAGTGTAAACTTCATTGTAAGATGGTGGTTTTCAGATAAGATTAAATAGAATGAATCTTAGGGAGAATAATTTTAACTAATTTTATTCTTCAGCATAAAGACCTTTTTGTGAACTTGGCAGGAAAATGCAGGTAGAGTTTTTCCTCCTTTACCCAAGCAGTACACATTTAATACTCAGTACAAAATAATGGCTTTTTTTTTAATGTTGGAAGGTAAAGTAATGAAAACTTGATTCCCATTAGATATCAACAAATCTATTCATAGTAGTTGGCTATTTATTGACTTACAGACATCTTCTCAATAGAAAAGTAGATTATTATGGTGGTGGAAACACAGTGGTGAATTGTATTTGGTAAATTTTTTCAGTGCCTGAATATTTTTCTTAAATTTTAAAATTGTGGCAAAGAACATATAACAACACTTACAATCTTCACCATTTTCACGTGTATTAGTATAGTTTGGTCACATTGTTGTTCCATCCAGTCTTTGGGACTTTTCATCTTGCAAAACTGAAACTCTGTACCCATTAAACAGTAACTCCTCATTTTCCCTCTTCTCAGCTGCTAGCAACTTCCATTCTACTTCCTGTCTCTATGAATTTGCACTAAAGATAACCTTGTATAAGTGGAATCATACAGTACAGTTGACCCTTGAGCAATTCTGGGGTTAGGGACCCTTACCCATGCTTTTGACTTCCCTCACGACCTAAATATTAATAGCCTACAGTTAATTTTAAGTGATACTGATAACAGCCAATTAACACATATTTTAAGTGATACTGATACGTTATATATATTATATCTTGTATACTTATAATAAAGTGAGCTAGAAAAAAAGTTAAGAAAACATAAAACACTTATAGTGCTGTACTTATTTATTAAAAAACAAAAACCAAGTACAATTGGACCTGTGCAGCTCAATTGGACCTGTGCAGCCCTATGTTCAAGGGTCAACTGTATTTGTCTTCTTTCATCTGACTTATTTTGCTTAGCGTAATGTTCTTAAGGTTCATACATGTCAAGATTTCATTACATTAAATGCTTAATAGTATTTCATTGTATGTATATACCACATGTGCTTTTCCATTTATCTGTCAGTGGACACTCGGGTTGCTTCCACCTCTTGGCTATTGTGAATAATG